CACGTATAAATTATCTTATTGAGAAGATAATCATAATTCATCAGTTATAAATCTTACACATATTATCTTATTCAGAAAATAGTTAGTTGTATAATCCTCTTGGACCTATAAAAGTAAACAATTGCTGTGAATACAGTTACTGTTACCATTTTAAAATAATTACATATGCATAATCTTAAAATGGTAATAATATATTTAGCTATATATAATAGTTATAAAAATATGATTACATAAAAATAATCATGAGAAAGAACAAGAAAATTAAAAAACTTGAAAACAAAATCAAAGAAATTGAAATAGCACTTGAATATGAAAAGAAAAAGAATCTTCTTATCCCATACAAAAAATAACAGAGCTATAAAAATAATAAATTACACTCTTAAAATAGTTAGATAATAACTTTATGACTTAGATATTAGGAATATAGAGTAGTATATATAGTAATAAAGTAGAGTATATATAGGAGATATAATAATACTAATAGATTAAATGTGAAGTTAGTATCTCTTTTTTAATATATAGATTATCAAAGATCAGTCTAATTAATCTCTTGTCATTGAGTAGAAATTAATAGTAGAATTTAAAAGTTCTTTTGAGCTCTTTATTCTTATTATTAAAAATATATTAACATATTACAGAACAAAATTATTACAAAAAAACACTTATCATATATGCAAATGAATAAAATATGTTGAAGATTGACTGTTAAATAACATATAAATAATTTTCTACTCATTGATAAACTTGGATATAAGATTAAAAAGATAGAGAAACAAGTATTAATATCCAGTAACCAGATAATGTACTAGATAGAAAACTTATCATTTAATAACATGATATCTATATACTTAATAGATTATTTCTATTACCAGTAGTAGATATAATAAAATAATAGGATAATTATAATATCAGATTGAAAATTAGTAAGATGAGATTATTATCTTTATCAACTTTTATAAATTTTATATTAATATCATCTGATTTCTATTACTAGAAAGAAATATATATAGATTCTGCATATTTTCTAGTAATAATCTAAACCTTAATAACATATTATGCAAATGAATAGCAAACTAAATATATTTCAAAGATTCTCTAATACTAAAAGATTAATATTATGAAGAAGTATAGCTATAACATGAACATATTATAGTTAGTGTATTATTTGATTAGAGAGAGCTAATAATAATTAGATAGATATGTTTCTGATAGAGAGATATTATCAAACTTAGCTCAGATCATTACTCTTACTAATAAAAATTATCAATTATGACTAAACTAAATTTACAAGTAACTTATTTTATTACGTGTCTTTTTTACTTCCTAAATGAAATAAAATCTATACTTATCTCTAAATAAGAACTATCTATTGTAATATTATAATAATATTATCAAAGAAAAATATCATTCTGTCTGATAGTAACTATTATAAAAGTGATAGTGAAATATATTTCTCAAAAATATTTAAATTTAATGATGAATTAATTAATAATTCTTAAGTATTAAATACTGATGAAGCAGAATTGAAGTGAAATCTTACTATTATTATTACTATTATAGTATTAAAACAAATCATATAATAATATTATTATTATGCAAATAGATATATTTAGATTATGAAGTTTTTAATCAATAAAAATAATATAATAATTATTATATAACTATCTTTTTTTACGCTTACTAACTCACTATAATACTTGATATAGTAGATAATACTTAAAGATATAAATCATGTGATTTATTTTCAAAATCCAAAATTTATATTTGACTAAAAAGTTAATTTATGATATTTTTTTAAATACATATGATTTTCATAATATTATATATATTACATATATAATATGTAATTATTATAATATATATCATAATATTATGATTATGATTATAATAAATATCTTATTTTCTTTAATATTATCCTGATCAAAAAAGTCTTTATTATAATAAAAATATCTCACTTTCATTTTTCTTACCTTATATCTCACCTAAAACATATTTATTATCATCTATACAAATATATATATTTATTTCTTACTATTCAAATATATATATTTATCATTCAAAACTTATTTCTTATTAATCATAAATTCATCTAATTTCTTCTGTAGAATCTGTCTATGTGATCTAAATTTCTTATATGCATACTCCATTAATTTTTCCATTAATCCTTCATGATATAATTATATATATTTCTATAATTTTCAAGCAAACTTTCTAATTATAATAATATTCATGAAATCAAGTGCTTGTAGAATGATTTTCTGCAAGCTAGCCTATATATATTCATAATGATTTCTCATATAGTGCTTAGTTACATTCTAATATATCTCAATAAAATTAAGTTCACAATAAAACTTTAGATAAAAAATATATAAATAGCTAGTATTTTTAATTAACTTCATAATGACTAACTTTTATATTATAAAATCAGATTGAGAGATTATAATTCTTCTCATATAACAGTCTACTTGTGAAGATCTCTTTGCTAACTCCTTATTTTTATACATCTGACAATCTAAAACCAACTCTTTCTTCTAAAGATCTCTTTCTTGCAATATTTTCTTTATTTCTTTTAATTTTTCTCATAAAGTAGAGTTGAGATAATTTTTGGTAAATATCATTTGTTAGATTATTAATTATTTATCAATACTAATAAAAGTTATTAATCATATAATTAGTTACTTTTCTCTAGAACCCAGATTCATCCTTCCTGTGATAAGAATATTCTTTATATATGCTACATAATTAGTACTATTATTAAAGATAAAGATGATTATTACATCAGAGAACTTTATCTCAAAAATAGGAATTATTTTGTATTTGATTTGTTCTAGTAGATGCTTAACAGTCTAATAATCTTCCTAATTTTTGCTAGGTAAAAAATAATAATATATCTTGATAGAAATATTTGAATATTTGGTTGATTCTTTTTTACTTAATTTTAAATAATCACACATCTCTGAAAGAAATTTGCTTATCATAATTAATCTCCTATTTCTCTTCTTTCATAATAGTATTTGTCCATCTATTATTCAAATTCTTCTTTTTTCATTATTTGAATAGAAAATATACTTATTATGAATGACAAAAATTAATTCTTGCTTATCTATTATGAGTGCTAGTGGAATTATTTCTATTACTTCTCCTTTATATCTTATCATTCATCATTCTAATTTTTCTATTATCTTTAAAAAATTTTCTTGATATATAACAATATCCTCTCATTCATATCTGTCAAAGTATATTTCTTTCTGATATTGCTCAAATTAATAATTCAAGATATTTAATCATCTCTTGACTATTTACAAGCTGATTATTTTTCTGATATCTATGTATTCTGATAGAATAACATTTTCAATATACTATTTAAACTGGGATAAATTAATACTATTTACTTCTAATTCTTATCATATCTATTGGTGACAAGCTAAAACTATATCTTTATCATTAATAAGTTGCTTGTATTTTTGATATTAATCATGATTTGAGAGCAAAAATGATTCATATTACAAATAAAATTTGGTCAAAAGATGAATTTTTTTAGTTATACATGATATTTGAGTGATATAGATCATGTTCACAACTTTTTGACTAGCTTTCTAAATTCAAATAAAAGTAAAATTAAAATTAAAATAAGAATATAAACTAGTACTAAGAGATTATTATATATAATTAAGATTTTGATTTGAAATATATTATATTCTAATTACTTATAAATAGTATGCTATCTATTATACTCAAAAGTTATAAAAATTTGTCCATTTTCAAGAAGTTTGTTCTGAAATTAAGTAACTTTTTGCAAAGTATTACTTTTATATTATCTTTATCTATTATTAAAAGTACTAAAGACTTGAAGAATGTAGATGTGAAAAATGTATGTGTTGAAATTGCTAAAAATATCAAAAATCCACTGGCAAAAAAATTAGTAATTTTATATATTCTCTTGGCAGCCTTGACAAGTGAACTGGAAGTGCCAAATTTATGATAATAGATTATTTTTGATATTTCTTTTATTATTTTTGTATTCTCTCTTTCTGCATTCTTCTATATCAAAGTTATAAGTAGGCATGTCTATATCTTCTCCTCCTCTTCATCGGTTTTCTTATTTTTCTCTTCATCAGTTTCATCAGTTTCATCAGTTCTGTCAGTTTTGTCAGTTCTGTCAGTTTTCTCCTCTTCATCAGTTTTATCAGCCCTATCAGTTGCTTCATTTTCCCTCTTCTCTTCATAAAATTCAATAGTTTCTTCTTCAAAAATTCTCTCTCTTCTAAAATTCCTTTTTTCTGATTTTCTTGAACTAGTTTTCTTCTTTTATTATTATATTCTTGAAGTCTGATAAATTGTTTCTTTTGCCGAGGTATACTTTAATAAACGAACTTCGCCCAAAATACACGTGACGAGCCAATTAATTTAAAAAAAACGTGATTTATGATCGACCAATAAAATTGGATTTCACGTGTTTCGTAATTTGATTGGTCGATCATAAAGGCACGTGAAGAAATTGTGTCCGCTTATCGCTCTGAACATATAAAACAAGATATTTTTAAATGGATATAACTCAGAAATAAGTAATTATTTTTAAAAAAGGAGGCCGACAATTTGTAGTAAATTGGCTTAGCTTCAAAATAGCGGCCTCCTTTTTTTGTTCTACCTCTGTACCATCCTCCATTACTTTTTAAAGTTTTTAAATTTAATTTCCATCTTTAAGTGTCGCGCACTGTACGTGTCTTGTCCAAAAATCAAAAGAACGAACGAGTGACAACAATGGCGAGCAGCTATCCATATGGTTTTGATAGTAAGTACTTCTGAAGCGAAAAGACGCGACTCCCTATATATACTCACTAGTGTAACTTTAGTCCTTAAGTCGTACTTCCAACGGGCATCAGAAAACGACCGCGCACCAACTTTATCGGAATTTGTTAGCTTGAACGTTGATTTCATAGCTAGATCAAGTCCAAAAACAAATGAGAAACTAAATGGCACATGGAATAAGCGTTTTGTCACGGCTGCGGAAATATTGAAAATTAAGGAAAGTATTCTTCTATCTTCGTTTTTAGGGAACTCGCGTTAAGTTTCGCCCTGACTGCGAGCGTAGGTGTCGTCCCTCTCCCTAGTGATAATGTCGAAGCTTCAGTTAAGTTTCGCCCTGACTGCGAGTATAGGTGTCGTCCCTCAGCGACATTATTGCGAATATTACGAATCTTGCGAATCTTGCAAAAGCCGACTCGATAAGTTATTCATAGAAAGCATAGAGTAATCATTCTTTTATTTGAAACGCTAGGTAGTTGTAGATGAGCCCGATTGGTCTCGTGTCTTCGAAGAAAGATTTAAAGTAAGCTATAGAATCCTTTGTGCTTTTACTTTGATCAATTAATTCTATTGATATTTAAATGTACCATGCATCAACATATGACAGATGCAGATTTCAAGTAGTCGTCGCGAAAAAACATATATGATGTATTCAAACGAGAATGAACATGTCGGGGAGCAACTGTTAGAAGACCAGAGAAAACGAACTATAGAAGATGATACTATAACTTCGGATACGAAAAAAGCAAGTATAGTTTACACACTTTTGTGAACTCTGTACAGATGACTTATCATTTTTTTGTAATATGATACAGGCCAAAACGTTTAACGTTTCCTTTGATGAATATGTTGACTCCATCGAAAATGATAAAATTGAAATTTCTGATGATTCTGAAATTCTCGACGTGGAACCTTTGTCAGGCTGGGAATTCGATACACCAATGCCAAGCTGGTTAAAAAAAGCGATGCATCAACACAAAACATTAACAACCACACAGACAGATCCTTCAGAAAAATTCAAACTAGCAAAACAGTAAGTGCTTAGTGAATACTTTTTCTTTTTATTTGTACAGATCCTAATCAATTTTGTAATTTAGACCAATCTGGTGGCGAATCATAGATGCATCAGATCCGAAAATTGTGCAGGATTTCATATCTGAAGAAGAATTTTCTGAACTTAATGCCATATTTTCGAATGTTCTTAGTATTGGTCATCAGAATGATTGGACAGTGTTAGAGCCTGTTGCTGAAAGATGTTTGCAATCTCTTGCCAAGGTAGTTTTGACATTGAAGCATCTTGATCTTTATATGATAATCTTAATTAGCATAATTTTGTTTTCTAGCTGAATAATGAACAGATCCGTATGATAGGTGAAATGGTTAAGTATGAAGGAATACATGGGGCGGTTCGTAAACTTCAGAAAATAATCCAAAATATTGAAGAATTGAACATAGAAGAACCAGATTTGTTTGATGACGAACCCACAAATAATAAAACACTATCATTTGTTCTAGAAGAGAATGACTATCTTGATAAAGATGTGGGATACATCTTGGAATTAGTTCGTTACACGTAAGTTCATTTGTTAAATTTCAGTTTGGACACATACACAGCTTCTAATACTTTGCTTCTTTACAATCAGGTGTGAAATGTTAGGCAAAGGAATTCCACAACGGAAAAACTCTGAAAGGGACATAGATATGTTCATCAAAAGGCACATTTTTGCTTGTTTTGATGATATTCTAGATACACATTTGTATGTTTTTTTATATGCCTAAGTATAAGTACTTTTCATTATTGATAATACTGATTATTTTTCATATAAGTGGGGAGATGGTTTCTAGGTCATCTCGAGATCGACGAAGTGAAGCAATGGATGCCCCGGATAAAGTTGAAGGGTTTCATTTAGACTGGATGTTCACGGTATAATATCTTTTATTTTTATGAAGTTTTCATATTTTTGTTTGATTACTAACAGATTCCTACATATAGAGACATGATCTTGGAAAAGATATATCATATGGCCGAGAATTCTCCCTATGTGAGCGTGCAGGCTCTAAAGTAGATAACGACACCAAGAATGTTTCAGACATTCTTAAGGTTTTAAAAACACTCAAAGACATGCACAGAAGCCTAGTCAAAGCAATTGCTATTGAAAGTGGAGGAGCACTTTCAAAACAAGTTTTAAACGCTTGTAAAAAATTAATTATGCCTGGTTTTGCATCGTCATGGTTCTACCTTCGTGCTGTCCTTATAGTATATGTAGGAGGCGGATTCTACACATCATTTGAATTGGGAAAGTTTGATATCCCTACTTCGTATGATGAAATTTGGAAGCTAACTAAAATTGCACGCATTATGTTGCAAATTAAGGTTGGTAACATCCCATCCCAATTCAGACTTAATATTAACATTTTACACTCACTTTCTTTATCTTATGACATGCAGAAATTGTTGTGTTCCACAGTTTCTCGATTCAAGCGCATTATGGAAAGAGCCGAGAAAGAAAAATTCCTTCCCGGAAAAGTAACAATAGTCGAGGCAAAGGAGTCCCGTACACCTAATAAACCTCAAAAAGCGGAAAAACCAAAGCCTGAAGTATGATGCATATGATGACTTGTTGAAAACAGTTTATGGCATAAATTCTTTAGTTTATAAATGTCATTATTGTACATAGCTTATAAATAAAAGTATTTGTTTTACTCACATTGGAATATATAAAGTTTATGGAATAGAAACAAAAGACACATGCGATCCGCTCTATCAATAGAGTCTATTGACCCAGCATCATCCTCCAAAACAGTTTTGTACTTGTAAAAATCGTCGTAATTGTTACGGTCGGACGGTCTGGGTTTGGGAGAGCGATTAATCTTTCGCATAGGGGTGTTCTTCCGACCGGGGGTTATTACCAGATTAGCTTCGTGCTACCGCCCTTATTACGGTAGTTGTTCAATTAAGACTGAATTCTAATCTACAAGTGACCTATTATATAATTAAATTAAATGCGCGCTTCTCAACGAGTTTCAAATCACTCATGATTCCAAATAAGGGTACCCACGATAAAATAATAACAACAATTATTTTATCGTGGAATAAATTTTTTAAATATTAATTAAACAGGCTATCTTCGATTTGGTATTTTGACTAGTCAAATTCTGTCACTTGCCTCAAACTAATTAAACAATATTCAGTTTAATAAATAATTAACAAGTCTCGTTCTCAATTAATATTGACGGAATTATTTGATTGGTCAAAAATTCACTTGAGTACTAAATCGTCGGATAATTTTATACAGCTTAAGTGAGTCGTTTTTACAGTTTGAGTGAGCTGTTTTTTACAATTTGAGTGAGCCGTTTATTAATATCCGGCTAAATAATTAATATTTGCAAGATGAAAGAAAGTTTTTCAAAGGGAATCGTTTATTTGATATTTAAATTTTGTGGAGTGGAAAAATAATATGAACAAAACTAAACAACATTCACAACATGAAAATTTGACGAGCAAAAATTGAACGTAAATTAAGTTATTCAAATCAATACTATAACCAGTTTAATTGTTAATTGTGAATTTCCCTCTGCAAACATTCTCCAAGTTGACAGCAGCAAAATTACCGATGATTTAGCCCAAGAATTACAGAATATTGATAATCCTCATAATCCCACACGAATTATTATTGCTAAAAGAAGGGTGGGATGTTAAAAATGTTTATGTTATTGTTCCTCTTATTAGCAATTCTAGTGGCGCTTGTTACTGGTACTCAAAATACGGAGGATATTGTTTGTACTACTATTCTATCGATCATGGGATCGGCATGAAAGATTTTATCATGTGTGATAATATTTGCGAAAATGAAGAATCCTTGGAAATTATTGAAATCGAAACTACGCCAGAAAATAAGAAAACTTTTAAATGACTGCGATTTACAAAATGAAATTAAAGACTAGACGTTACCGGTTTTGAGAATTCGGCGAAAAACCACTAACGAGATAGTCGAGCTAGCCATAATATCGATGGATGTAAGCTCATATTGCCTAAATTAAAATACACTCCCGTGGCAAAAGTCACCGACAATCCCCTATATTTGCAATTAATGAGAATATTGGCATAATGAGCAATGCAATCACCGCAAAATTAATACTAAATTTAGCGCACCTTCTAGATGGTATATACTGTATATGTCGTACCGTCATCATATAAATCCCGTCAAAGAACCCCAAAGTTGGACGATCCCTAAAATTTTCTTGACTTACTCGCATGTATGCAACATACCTTAGGATTATTTAATTACGTAAACTATCTTTATTATTGTTGTTATATTCGCTGCTTTATATAATAAAATTTTTTTTCTCACTAAGGGTAAATAGCCAGAACATCGTCAATATTAACATGAACGTTAATGTAAGCTCAACGCTTCACCTATTCTCACAGTTAAGTGATATCGACTGTCACATCTCTGTTTAGCTTCTCCGCAACCACTTCGATTATCAGTACATGCACCTTTACAACACACCTTATCTGCCTACCACTACTCGATGCAACACCAACTGTGCTCTGGGCACTAACTGCCTCTCTTAATGTTATTCGCTGCTGAGGTATATCGTTTAATCGGCTATTTCCACTAAATTCAATTCATTGAATCCGTAAGTCACATTCAAAATCCCGGAAGCACATCTCAACCGATATTTTCCGTTTGTCTTTTCGATTATCTTACAAGGCAAGACTAATAATTACCACAGTTTTGACAATTTTAAGAAACAAGAATTTATGTCACAAAGAATAACGAGATCAATCCTTTGAGTTATTAATAGTTTGTTAAGATGTTTAATTAAACAAGATTATAACAAACGGTGCAACAAATATTAGCAAAGAATGATAATGATTACGGTTAGAAATATAAATAGATTGCTAAGATAATTCACTGACAACAACGATATATTATAACAACGACTAGAGATATAAATAGCTTTCACTGTTAACAACAATAATATTACGATTAGAGACATAAATAGCTTCCTAAGATAATCCACTGACAACATAACAACAACAACGATCAACACTACAAAGAGGTTGGCCCTTATGTGTAACATCAAATGAGGGTAGGACGGTTTTCGTGTCCCAGTGCTATGCTACATATGAATAAGTAAATTTCCTTTACGATAATAGTAATTACAAGGTTTCTATTACAATTGTCTTATACTACATACTTGCAAGCAGTGATTGCTGTCAGTAAATTGGTTAATTGAGATAAGCAAAAATTTTTAGGGGATTGTCCAATTTTTGACGGGATTTATATACGACATATACACAAAAAATTGCAATATTTTAGGTAGTAAAAGTACAAATTTACCCAGAGCCGACTTTTATCCTACGAAAACGGTAAAATTAGGTTGTGCGACGCGAATACAGTCCTACCTCATTTATATCCCCACTTTGGGACGGAGCTTTTTCGGGGATATATTCGAGGTGGGATACAGCTGAGGTTATATGGGTGAAATTGTGCTGGTTTTATAACAATTTCAAGATTATAAGCATTCATTAAATATACATCATAACCATGGATCAAACGTAATGATTTATTCTAGTGTTTCCTTTTTATTACCTTTAATATTTACCCATTGTTTCTAATATGATACAGGTTTTGCTGGTATACCTTGTGTCGGATTTGTAATACTTGGACACAACGAACCAAATTATCGATTTAACGCTGTTCTTATCGAACAGTATATAAAGAATAACAATAATAAAGAAACAGATATTTACTTTATTTTTCTAGCTTTCGTTTCTTTCTTGGTTCATCATGTGTTGGTGTTGGTGCTAATGTTCGTTTATGGTTTATTATTTTTCTCTCTTCTCGATAAATTTCATAAGTGATTTTTTCTTGATCTAGATATTCCTGGAGAGTTTGGGTATTGTTGATTTTAAAAACATAAGGCGCAATTTTTTCACCCTGTTCTTTCTTTAAAATACTTCTAATGGTGCTGTAATTCTTGGGTTCCATGGTGGATTTGATGTAAATTAGTTTCATATTAATATTTATATAGAGATAATCCTATATATATTAATCCTGTTATGATTTATATTCATCACATTCTGGTACGATAAAGTGAACATTAAATTATAAGTTATGAATGAGCACTTTTCAAAATGTCATCAGTCATACTGGTCAATTTTACAGCCACATAATCAGTCTCTCATTTATGTCACATAATAGAATATTCACTTTGTCTGGTTTTGTTGCAGCATATTCCATTTTATAGTTTGTCCATCAGTTCTTTAACAAGTTTTACAAGATCTAATAAATTTCTTTATATCTGTTTCTATTTCATTTCACTAATATCTAATAGCTATTTATTGATAAGTTCTATCAATTTCAAAGTGTTTAGCAAGTAAATCTGAATGTATACTAGTCATTACTACTTTAATTTTATTTTTTTTAGTATCTGAAGTGATGTGATAGATTCTTTTCTTCTGTTCTTTTTATAAAATATTTTATTAATTATTAAAAAGTATTTTGATTACTAACAAATTTTCTTTTATTATTCTTCAGTATATTTTACAGAATAACTTTTATTTTTTAAATATCTCATTAAGTCATAATATATAATTAAATTCATTTTGTCAAATTAATCAGATTTAAGTAATCTATTTAATTAATTATCCAGTAAAAATGATTTCAAATAGTTTATTAATTAAGTAAGTTTAATATTTTACTCTTGTAAATATATTCTTGAAAGAGTATCTATATTTTGATTAGTTTTTTCAGCTTTATAAATAATAATAAAGTTATATTTCATTATAATTATTATTCATCTTGAGATTCAGAATTCAGAATTAACTTATTTAGTAAATAACTAACAAAGTGCATTATAATTAATAATAACTTTAAAGAGAGATTCAAGAAGATAATATCAAAATTATCTAATAGTTTAAACTATAATCAGAGTTTTTTTTCAGTGATATTATAATTCTTTTCTACTAGTTTTAGTAAAATACTTGTATAGGCTACTACTTATTCTCTTTTTTTATTATCTTTCTGAGATAATATTATATTAAGTTTAGAATCAGAAACATTAGTATAGAGATAAAATTTCTTTGTAAAGTTAGGATAAATTAAGATTGAAGCAAAGATAAGTTTTTTCTTTAAAGTTTAAAATATATTCTCTTAATTTACAATTTAAATAAAAATAATATTATTCTTTAAAAGTTTAAATAGTAATGCTACTATCTATGAGAATCCTTTAATAAATTTTCTATAATATCCAGCTAGTTCTAAGAATAATCTAAGCTTCTTAATATTTATTGATATAGAAAACTCTTGAATTCATTAAATAATTAAAGAGTTTGATAATATTCCATTTTGAATTATGATATATTCTAAAAAGAATAAGTTATCTTGAATAAAATTATATTAAGTTTTAATTCAGCTTCTCTAATCTGTTAAAAAACTTATTATAAATATGATAAATATTCTTTTTAAGTTTCTGAATATATATTTATATTATTAATATAGATTATAACAAATTTTTAATTATAATCTTCAAGTATGCTATCTATAACTTATTGAAAAGTTGCTGGTATATTATAAAGTTTAAAAGACATAACTT